TGGGACACACTCCTCAACTCTGACACCCACCACTATGCAGTGGGTCTGCTGGCCAGGTGAGACCCCCTTGTCCCCGCTGCCCCTGTCCTTTCTGCCTGTGCACGGGGCACCCCACACAGTGCCCGTGGTGGTGGGCCAGAGGGCCTTGTCACCCAGGGATGGCCGAGCAGAGTGGCAAAGGCTGGGAGAGGCGGGTGCACAGGAGGAGCTGCCTCCCAGAGTGCCCTCATCCCCTGCCAAACTGGTGGAGAAAGACCAGACCTCTGTGAGACCGTCCCGGGAGAGATTTGCCCACCCGGCTCAGGGTTGATGGTGCTTGTTTCCCCTTGCCAGGGAGATGCGCCGTGCCTCGAGCCCCTTGTGTTCCCCGGTTGCCCTCTGCCTGCTGGGGCTGCTCACCAGGGAGAAGCCACACTGGGAGCTTCCTGCCATGGCATTCTTTGTGGAGGTGAGCCTGATGGCGAGCGCTGCCTTGCTGACCTGCCTCCACCTCTCTGCCCTCTCGCAGCCGCAGCTGCCCGGGACGGTGCCGCGCCCTGTGCTGCTGCCTGGGCCCAGCCCTGTGCAGGTCCAAGCTCCTGCTGGCTGGACACCCCATCACTGCTCTGTGCCTTTCAGGTCATGGTCTACCTGGACGTGACTGAATGTGGTGAAAGCATCCTGAAGATCTTTTCAAGGCACCTACAGAGCGAATGCAAAGAGAGACGTCGCCTGGCACTCAGAGGCCTCGTGGTGCTCAGCCAGGATCCTGTGATGGTGAGAAGGGGGCAGGGGCTGAAGCCGTGCTGGAATCCTGGGGCTGGGGAGTGCAGTCACTTGGGCTTGGCTGGGCTTCGAGAGCTGTGGCAGCTGCTCCCAGCTCTGCTGCCTCCCTGCTCAGCTGCCCGAGTCCCTCGGGACAGGCCTTTGGCCTCTGGGCCCCGCGGCAGCACGTGGGGCTGCCCTGCTGGAGCGGGGTTGGCGCTGCAGCCCTTCATGGCTTCACAGCACAACGTTGTGTTCCTCACAGGCTGACAGCATGCGGAGCCTGACACAAAGCCTCTTGGACATACTGGGGGATGCAGATGGAGAGCTGGTCTGGATGGCCCTCTCTGTATTCATCAATGAAGTCCAGGACAGAGATATCCGAATCTCCACCCCCACTGCCCTGCAACTGGCTGAGATGCTCCAGCCACTCTTTGGCAATGTAAGGCTCTGTGCCCCCCACCACAGGCGCTGGGTGCTGCCAGGAAACTGTGGCCTGTGGACTTGCAGGCTTGTGCCCCGGCAGGCCTGGAGCAGCCGGTGCTGAGGTCTTTTCCTCTTCCTTTCCATCAGGACAACATCCATGTGCAGCTGCTGTCCATTTCCCTCTTCCAAAAGGTGATGGAGTTGGGAGTGGAAGGGGGAAAACAACCCCTGAAGACACATGTGATCCAGAGCCTGCTCCCACTCTTCTTCTACTGGCATGATGAGAACCAGCATGTGGCAGAGGTGAGGACTTTCTAGGTTCTGATGTCCCAGTGGAAGGGAGCTGATCTGCCTCCTGCCCTGGCACCTCAAAGGCTCCAGCTTCCTCCTGGCCTTGATCCAGGGACACGAGTCCTGTGCCCTGGGCTGCGATGCCATGTCCTACTCCCTGTTGCTCTGCAGGCCTCTGGGGAAGTGCTGATACGTGCACTCAGGTTCCTGAAGAGAAGGGATCTAGAGCAGTTGGTCAAGAAGAAGCAACCGTGGAGGTTCGGCCAGCGCCTGGTAAGGATGGCCTCAACATCCTTGCCCCAGGCTTGAGCAGTCCCCAGTCCCCGATGTCCAGAGTGTGGGGCTGGCACTGTGCCCCTGCCCACTGCTGCCTTCGCTGAGGCGTGCGGGCTCCTCTGCAGGCTCCTCTGCCCCCGAGCCAGGGTGCCGCTGGAGCCCTGGCCCAGCTGGGCTGTGGGGCAGGGCGGCCCCGCGGCTGCCGGGGAGCAGCCAGCCCTCTGCTCCCTCCAAAGCCGGCCCCAGCGGCTGCTGCCCGGGCCTCAGGGCTGTGCGGGCAGGGGAGGCCAGTGCTGGGCGCAGGCAGCTCCCGGCCAAGGGGCAGAGCCCCAGCCAACCCTTCCCTCTGTGTCCTTGCACTCTCTGCAGCTGGAAAAGGACAAGAGAAGAGTGGCTGAGTACCTGCGCCAGGCCCTCCCATACCTGGAGAGCCCACAGGAGCCCGTGAGAGAGGCGGCCGTCAAGTTCATTGGTGAGCCACAAGTTCCCTCCCCGCCCCATTGCAGCTCGGCCCCAGCCCCGGCTGCCGCAGCGGCAGCAGGATGCGGCCCCGGGATGTGCTGTGGAGCCCCGAGTGCCCTGGCGGCTGCTGCCGCCCTGTGCCAGCCCAGCCCTGGGGCGTCCCGAGGCGGGAAGGCCCCGGGCTCCGCCCTGCCAGGGCAGGAGGGCGTGTGGCCGGGCCGGCAGCGCCGCCGGGGGGGAGCTGTGCCGCTGGGGCCCTGACAGGATCTGTGTTCCCAGGGATCGCCGGAAGGTACCTGAAGGGACAGAAGGTAGAGCTGCAGATCGTCATTGATGGTGAGTGAGGGCAGTGGGGGCTGGTGAGGGGATCACAGAGCCTGGGCAGGGAGCTGCAATCCTTCCCTGGCTGTGGAGGGCTCTGCTCCCTGCACAGATGAGGAATGGCTTGGGCAAAACAGAGATTTCAGGGGCACGGGGGGTATTGGCGGCCAGCACCTCCCGACTGATCCTGTTGGGCTCTGCTCCCTCATGGCCATGGCAAGAGTTGAGTGGGATGGTCGTGGCAGGAGGGGCTTCTTGGGTCATCAGAGATTTAGTCTCTGACCTTGGCTCCATTCTTTCCTGTTCCAGTTATTGAAAGCATGACTCATGACAGTGCTGCCATCAGAAACCTGGCAATTCAAACCCAGAAAATCCTAGGAGCTGTTCAGAGACCTC